TGCGACTGGTTATGTGGTCAACAAGTACGCAAAGATTGTGAGACGTCGACCGGGCGGCCTCCCCGTCAAACACTCACCTCCGCAGCCCATGATGATGGGCCCCGCGTACGACAGGTTGTTGAGGTGGAAGCCACGGCTCTCATTCTTGAATTGCACCGTGAGGTTGCCCCGGAGCTCCTGGCCGATGGACAGCTGGTCCGCGTAGTAGCCTGCAACAGCAGAGAAGGGAGAAGGTGAGGCTGAAGTAAATATGGCGGGGCTGCTGCGCTCCAACCAGCAGGGGGCAAGAGCAGGGGGCCCTCTCGTCGTTCCAACGTGCAAGAAACTTTGCCCTGCTGCTTCCAGAAAGGAATCCCGAGCCTCCCAGGGGCTAGGAAGGCAGCCACAACAAAGATTTGAGCCAGCGCTGCTCGCTCACGAGGCAAAGAAGGGCGCACCGGGAGTACACCGTTTCACTTATTTTTTAAGGGAGAGGGGGGGAGGGTGTAATTTCGCTTTGTTACAATCAGAGTGTGCGCAACTGTGGCCGTAGCCACCTTCTTGCGCACAGGGAGAACATTGTATATTCGTCCCCGAGGTTGACAAGCAGAGGCGGAGGGCGGAGGGCCCGGGAGGGCTGCAGCTCTTGGCAGTGGCCGAGGACGCCTGGGGAGGTGGGCAGGCCGTGCGGTCGCAACGCAGCCGTGCTGAGCCGGTGGCCTATGCGCGGGTCTGCAGGGGCTTCTCTGGGAGCGGAGCAGGGCGGAGCAGACCGCAGTAGCGAAGTGCAGAGAATAGTTTGTTGACTAGTACATAAACACACACGCGCGCGCGCGCACGAGACGGGAGCTGGGAGGTTGGGAGCAGGAGGTAGAGCGGCAAGAGCGGCATACACACAGCAACAAGCAGAAATTTTTATTTGATTTATTTAAAACCATTATCGTCGTATCCCGATAAAAATCGCAGTTTTCTCCTCCAAGGAAAAGGGTAATTTGCAACTTGATTTTCTTGAAAATCTGCTGTCTCCATTTTCCTGTAACGTGACGCCTGACGGGGCCGTCGCCGCGCCGGTCCACTGCGCTGCACCGCCCGACGGCAATTTGTCGTCGCAGGGTGATTGGCACGCCATCATGGAGGCTGCGGCTGAGAAGTGGGAGAGAGAGAAAGTGAGAGAGAGGGAGAGGGAGAGAGAGAGAGAGAGAGACAGAGAGAAAGAGAGAGAGGGAGAAAAGTGAGGGAGGAGGGCGCGATGGAGTCAGGAGCAGCTGTTGGGGGGAGCGAGAGGGATAGGCCATCCATCCTTGTCACTCCTAACTGCGCTTGGATCATCTCATCCCTTCAGCCGCACTCATTGTAGCCGCCACCGGTGGTCGGCCCCGCCACGCCCCGCCACGCCGCATTCCCGGCTGGATGGCTCAAGCTGCTTGTGGATGATAAATTTGGCGCTGTAAGCTTCTCTTTCACTTTGGAGCGGACGGACGCGTGGTGGCTGTTGGGCTCCTCCTGAAAAACGACTCGTGCGGGGCGGGGCGGGTACGGGACGGCGCCGGGGCCCTCTTCCCTAACGAGGCGCTGGACCGCCAGCCGCCGGGCTCCTCCCGTCCCAATGAATGGTCGAGCAGACGATCTGCCAGCCCGAGATCCCGGGCGGCGGGGTGCGGAAATACCCGACCAACAAGAATGAAATGTTGGCTTTTGAGCTGGAAAGAGAGGTAGCAGCAGAAAAATTCCTCTATGCAGAAAATGCTCCAAAACGTTACTCCTCTTTCATTCTCTCTCTCTCTCTCAGCTCAGGAATGCCATTTGTGTGAAAGCAGCAGCGCGATTCCGTGGGGTACGGAGCGAGAATAAGATATAAATTACCCCTCCGAGAGCACTTTAGGTTCGCTAGAAGTTATTCAATTCAGCTATCCCTGCGCAGCGGGAATCAATAGAGGACCGGGTAGAGATGCCAGCTGCTGGGCGACTGCTCTCTCTCTCTTGTTCTCTCTCTGTGTCGTGCTCGCTCGGCTCGCTCCCTACCTTGCTCTTGCTCTCTCTCTCTTGCTCGCCCCCTCTCGCTCGCTGGTACTCCGTAGCTCTAATTTTCTCTCGAGCGCTCTCCAGTACTGGATGAAGTGGCCCCTCTCGGCCCAACGACCCGACCCGACCCGCTCCGCCGCTCTGTTGTCCTGCACGGGCACGGGCGGCCGCGCCAGAACGGAATCACCGCACCGCGCCACGCAGCGCAGCGCGGCGCCGCGACCCGCGACCCTCCCGCGTGGCTTATTTCACAAATTAACTAGGTTGCCGTGGGGAGTGATGAGTGGGGGAGGGGGTGTTGTCGTGTCGACGTCATTGGGCGGACGTGATGTGGCGGGGCGGGGCGGGGCGG